CGCTTCAATTTCGCGCACGCAGGGTTCCGATCCAAGCTGGATCTTGAGGGTTATCATACCCTCAGGCTCAATGGTATCTCCCGTGAAACCTGAGAGGGGAGTTCTTACCTGTTTGAGAGCCCCCCTCTGGAGTCCGACTTCTAGGAAAGCATCCATGTAAAGTATGTTGACCGAACTGCCATTGTCCACCGGTACCCTGTGAACAATTGCGTCCATGACCTCCATTTTGATTACCAATACATCCCTATGTGGTGGGGCACATGGGGGGAGATCATCATCCATGAAGGTTATAAACTCAGGCTTCTGTTTCTTGTCGGCAGGAAGACGGCTGATTTCGCCGACAAACAGTTGGCGATTCCACTTCTTCCTTTCCCCCGTTGTATCCCCTCCCACAGGTCTGCCGTAGATCTGGTTGACGTGTGGTCGTTTTTTCCTACCAGAATCTTCCCCTTCATCGTCATCTTCAAATTGGGCCCCGACCTCCCTTTTCTTCGAAGATGAGGCCGACGCGTCCTTCTCCCTGTTCCAGGTGTGTTTCTTCGGTGGATGTTGTCCCTGCTGGGCTTTCTTCACAAACTGCTCCAGTTGACCCTCTCGTATGAGCCTTTCCACATACTTCTTCAGAATGTAACAATCGTCAATCTGATGAGAGTCGCTCGTGTGGATCTTGCAGTATTTTTTTATGGGGTTCTGATTGTGGATGATATTGCACCCTTCAGGGGCGGTGATCAACCCCTGCTTCGCAGCGTAATCCAGGACAGTACTCACCTGATGCGCGGTCGGAGAAAAATCTGGTTGGCTGGCTAGTGGCCCTTCAAGAACACCTGATTTGCCTTTTCCCCAACCCTTTTTCTTCTTTCTGGATCCACTCCCCTTGTCCGAGTCGTGGCCTTCTTTCTCCGTGGATTTCTTCTTTTCGCCCTCAAATTGGCGCTTCCCGGTCTCTTCTTCCTTCTTTTTCCTCTCAACCTCCTCTACTCCGGCCTGAGCGTTGGCACGCTGTAGGGCTTCCTCATGTGAGGTTGGAGGGTTTCGCACAAAATCTTTATATAACTCACCCGACCTCAGGGCGTTGGTGAGTATAGCGACAACATTTATTGTAAGGAATAAATGTAATTAGATTTTGATGATGCTATAGGACTTTAAAAAGTACCCCTTTAGAATATTGTATTAGAATTTTCTTTGTACTTGTTTTAGTATAATCGACCGACAGAAGACCTCCAGATAGAAGCCCCTTTTTGGCCCTCTGATGATTGTTCCTTGACAGAAGTCCTCCTGACTCTCTATTGGACTTCACTAGAACAGAAGTACTTAGGTCCTCTGTTGGCCCTTATCTTAACACAAGGACTGAAGACCCTCTGGTGACTTACGTTTCAACAGAAGTGCTCATGACCCCTTCTGTTTGACTATCTGCTGAAGATAGCAGAAGGCCTGACACTTAGAAGTTTTCAGAATTCTATCTCAGCCGGTTATTTCAACGGAAGATCCTCTAACGGCTAGAATACTACAACGGAAAGCTACAATACACGCATTAAATGCTCATTTAATGCGGATTCGTACGAGAAGACATTTAAGACAAATGATTGACCAAGAATAAGAAGGAATATCTTCTCTAAATAGCAAGTCGCCGAATTTGTGGATCCAACCAGTCAGCTCACTGCACGCGCATTAAATGCATTGTCCTCCTCCTCCAACGGGAAGACAACCCTAGTATTAAAGATACACTACGAAGAACAACCAGATAACTTTGCTACAACCCTGCCAATACTTTGAAAATCAAGTGCTCAAGAAAAACACATTCAAAAACATTCAAACGCACAAGCCTTCTTGAGATCGAAACTTCATCATCTTCAACAAGAATGGCGCTCGTTGGGTAGACAGACTTATAATATCCTCATATCCCCAACAAGAGCAAAGTTCCATTCGTTCTTCAACACTTCAAGCACTTCATCTACAAATCTTTTATAACGAAGCTAGTTGGAAAACCTCTGTTCTCTCAAGAACTCTTCTCTAGCGAGAAGGACGTCCAAGTAACTGGAGCAGTGAAGTGGTGATACTTCTGGGAAGCTCAGCGAAAGGGCCAGTCTTAAAGGAAGCCAGGAAGTGCATCCCAGGATACATCTAGGCTTGAAGAAGACGTGGAGAGCTTCTTAAGTGCTAGGACTAAGGCATTGTAAACAGACGTTTTTACAAGCTTTGTGGAACAGTGGATTAGAGGAACGAGTTGTTCCTTGAACCACTATAAAAATCCCTGGTGTCGTTTACTTACTGCATTTACTTATCGCATATAGTTAGAATTGATTAACTCCAAAGACTTGGTCTCTGTGTTCAGCAGAACGTGTTTTGTGAGTTAACAGAAGGCCTGCTGCCTTTGCTTCTTTGAGGCTAATTGAACAGAATCCCTACCAGAACCCTATCCGCTGCCAGTCTGTTCTGTCAACAGAACAGGCTATTCTGTAAAATCTGGTACTTAACTTGAAAAAGCTTAAAACTAATACAGTCTATTCACCCCCCTCTAGACTGTATCAAGTTCAACCAGGACCAACAGACTTGTCATCCAGGTCGTCTATCTTTACTGATTCATCCCTCCACCGGACTAAGAAATCAGCTAAGCTCTCTTGGGGTCCCTGTTTGATCCCTAAGGGGTGAGAGAAATTCTTCTTGGAATCCTTGGAGCTGGCGAACCGGGTCACAAAAGCATGGACCAACTCCCTGAAGTTCCGGATCCTTCCATTAGACAGGGAATCATACCACTCCCGGACTGCCCCGTCGAGCGTCACCGAAAACCCCTTACACTTGATGGCGTCTTCATATCCCATCATCACCATGTACGCCACATATCTGGAAACATGGTGATGTGGGTCTATCTCCCCCCGGTAGGCCTGTATATTGCATGGCATGTATCCCTGGGGTAGCGGAGCATCCATGATCTGACGAGTGAATGCTTCGGGAATCCTTACCTCATGGTTAGGGTTGACTCTGGCGTCCACTTCCCTCCGAATCTCGTCTAGCCTCCTCCTGAGATCATCGTTGCCATGGCCCGCTCACGGACGAGGTGGGGATCGGCAATTCCCGCGGCTTGCCGGTTGGCGTTGATCTCGTTTCTGAGCTCTCTCCCACACATGCTGCGGTGGTGGGACGAAATGGCCGCGGACGATGCCTCCCCACTCGGCTCGGGCCGGGATGAGATCCTGTCATGCACGGAGACTCTCTGCTCACCGATTCCGTCCATCACCGAGGTCCTCGGGGTTGGCCTGGAGCGATGGGAGTGTTGAGATCGGGCCTAGAGCGATGGGAGTGCTGAGATCAGTCCTGGAGCGATGGGAGTGTTGAGATCGGGACGGATGGGATAGATGGAGCCCGGCGAGGGGAAGGGGACCTCGTATTCGCATTAAGGATGATACCCTGGAAAGCGGTGGTCAGAGTCTCCACTGCCCTTTGGAACGTTGCCAAACTCGCTAAGGCCAGAGCCGGATCAACGTTGGGGATACGATTCCCAATGCCTGGCGTCTGGAACTGCAGTGGTTGCATCGCTGTTCGTCTGGAAACTCCAACGCCCTGGAAATAATTTCTCAGATCCTCCTATCCTTCCGCGTTGTCGTTACGCCTACGGAAATCACTTCGTCGTGACCTAGAACCTTCATCTTCGATCACAACTTGATCGAAACGATTACCGCCTTGATTGTTGCCCATACGGTTGTGGCTATTGGATCCAACCATCGTTAGTCGTAGATCTTCTCTCAACGAGAGCAACAAATGATGGAGTTTAATCCAACTACGAGAGCTAATTCTACAGAAGCAGATGAAAATATGGCAACGTAAGGCAGTGTCTTATTGATCAGTGTTTCGATCCTATTTTAGGAGGTTTACAAGTCATATTTATAGGCTAAGGAACTAGTGTTTCAAAAGAAAACTGATACATTAAATGCTATTAATTACATATTAGTTCGAATAGGACTCTCGTAACGTCTTGGCCGTTGTGCAATGATTGTTCCTTTACTCCCACGGTCCTGTCGTTAACTCCGGCCAGCTGCCGATCTAATGATAGCATGCCACGTCAGTCCTAGGAATATTCCAGCCTCACTAGAACTCCGACCAGGCTCAAGGCCTGCTTCCCAGCCTGGCCTGGTTGTGGGTTCCTCTTGTGGGCTTAATTCCTAGTTAGGCCCAATGGTTATCTAACATTAATCCCGTTTCAAGGCTAATCCCGTAAGGGCTTGATCTCGTTGTGGGCTTTGTCCCATCAATTAGGCTAACCCCGTGGAGGGTTGGTCCCGTTATGGGCTGGATTATGTATTTGGGCCATGGTCAGAATCCATGGTATCATCACAAGTGAGTTTTAAATAGAAATTAAGTGTAATAATTAAAAGTTTGGATTATTTATAGGATCACTTGATATATCTCTTCTCATCCACTTTAGAAACTACATGAATTTATTTATAGCCGGTCACGTCGGTCTATTATTGGTGGAAGGTCCCTAATGTTGGGATTATTCTGAAATAATCGATAGTTTATATTATTATGAGCGGACCACCAATAGTTGAGATTATTAATATCAATTTTTCCTTAAAAATATCAACAATGACTTTTTTGAGCAAAATCTTTAATAAGGAGTATTTTTATTATATTTCTAAGCCTTAAATGTACACTCAAGCATTTTAAATGTCACAATTTAACTTTCTACTAACATTTTATAAGAAATCAAATAGAAACACAAATTTAGAGTTAGCTCAAATCAATTAAATTAGGGTGCATATTCACCAAATACAAGATTACCATGTAGCTTAACCAAGCTTTAATGTTGTAGGAAATACAACATGGAATAGTGCAATACCATGAGTAGTTTGAGTACCATATTATATTTTTCGTCTTTGCATTCTTATTACAAAAATTTATACATTTTTTTTTGTCTGTAAATAAACTATTCACAAAAAAAAATTGTTCACGGACGTCTTTCAAAAAGTGTATATAAATAGTTTTTTGTTCTATCTCGTTTTTTTGTTCAAGAGTGTCACAAATAGGAGTGTCACAAATACAATACACAACGCTCTAAACACTCTGTCTTCTCACTAGGATTTCCGGCGACACTTTCTCTACCGACAACCTGAAGCCAGTGCGGCAGTAATGCCGCCGGCGGAGGGAATCGGCCCGAAGCAAGCTACGGTGAAGATCTCCTATGTGGCGGTGGTTAGGGATCCTCTCCCAGGCCACCGCGTGCAGGCTCAACCTGTTTCTTTCGCAAGCGTAGACTACCAATCTATCGATGGCAAGACAGGGCGATTCAGAGGTTTCCCGTCTGTCAATTTCTCTGATTCGGATATTCAGGTACCATCTACGTCTTTGCGGTACGCTCTTGTGGGAACCTTTCCGAAAGGCAGGCCACCCCTTGTAGCGATTCAGAAAGCTATGGCGGCCCTAGGTTTTTCACATGCCTATTCCGTCGGTCTTCTCCGACCGCACCTGATTCTCTTTAATTTCCAACCCGATTCAGATTTCCAACGATTTTGGATTAAAAAGTCTTGGGATTTTTACGGATTTGCGATGACCCTAACCCGTTGGAACCCATCCCTCTCGGTCAATTGTGATTCCCCTTTGGCCCCAGTTTGGGTGGCCCTCGAGGGACTGCCTGTTCACCTTCACGATGGCAGGGCACTCTTCCACATAGCTGGTCTATTGGGGAGACCACTTCTCACTGATTCTCCAACTGCAAATTTCACGAGACCATCTACTGCCAGATTTTGTGTTGAAATTGATGTCTCTAAAGTTTTACCCTCTAAAATATGGATTGGAAATGGGAACACAAGCTTCTTTCAACCCGTACTGTACGAACAACTCCCAATTTACCGTAATTCTTGCTCTCGTTTTGGACACGAAAAATCTATGTTCCACCAAAACGATTTGAATAGGGAACCAATACCTTTGATGCCTTTACATGCAAGCTCAGGTCTGTGAATTGAGTGCCCCAATTTTTGAAGCTCCTGCTGTTAAGGTACCTGAAGCAATTCAGGCACCTGTGGTTAAGGGTCCTGTTGTAGGTGCTTTTGCATCTAATGATACCTTTTCTGTTGAGGCTCCCCTCTTTGATGCCAATGTTGATACTCAGATTACCTGTGATGACTTAGCTGCCACTCTGGTTTCTGAGGTTCCTGTGGATGCACAGATTCTTCAATCTGTTGATTACCAGGTTCCTGCGCCAGATGCTTTTGAAACACCTGTTGATGCAGCGCCAAATGCCCCTGCAATTTTTAAGGCTATTGTGAACTCACAGGTTATCACACCCGTCGACACTCAGTTTAAAACCCCGGTGGTTTTTCAATCCCCTGTTGATGTCCATTGTCCATATCACTGCCCCTGAGGTTTTACAAATTCCAGTTTGCACTAACCAACAACTGGTTACCAGCCAAACCTCTGTTGTACAGGTTGCCCTTGATAAAAATTTTGAATGTGAACTGATTCCTGATGCGTGTCAATCTGGCAGCAATGCCAATGCTACAAACCTTGTCTTAAATAACGAACAACCCACGGTGGCCACCTCTAACAAGTTGGTAACTGTTAGCAAGGCGGTAACTGTTGGTGTAGTTCATCCGGAAATGACGGTGCCCACTGATACTCACTTGATTGAAGCTACTGCTGCCAACAGAAACCACAACACATATACAGGATATGATGAACTTAGTTCTGATCCCAATGAATGTGAACTGATTCATGATACCACAATAACCACTTATTTGTCCAATGATGAGGCTATATCTGAGGACCCCCATATTATCCATCAGTTTTCTAATGTTACAGATTTTCAGGGTACCGAGCCCGACTGTCCTAAGGGATTCACACAGGTAATCAACAAGAAAAAACTATCAAAGACACCCCAAGAGGACAAACAACTATACTATGAGGTGGGATACAGTTCTCGTCTCATGATCACAAGAAGTCAATCCAAGCAACCCCGAGATGAAACTGATTACTTCCTTTACCCGGTTGACGCGAGGCTTGAATCGCCACATCAATTGGCTGAGGCGCTTCAGAGATACAAAACATCCTGCCCGAACTCCAAAACTTACCAACCGTACCTGCGGAATGCAATAAGGTTCCACAACAAATACAACAGGACTATATCATCCTCTATGGGAATTCCAACAAGGAACTTTAATTGCTATTGTCTCTCTTATCTCTACTTTCTCATTACCCACTTGTACTTTTTATTTCCTTGTATCTTTCAAGTTTTTCTAAATAATTATTACTCCCTCCGTCCCAATTTGTAAGATACTTTACGGTTTACGATGTTTGATCGACGATAAAGCAAATTTATCCGTGGCAACACTCAAATTAGTTTTAGAAAATAAAGTTTACATATTCAGAAACTTTATTAAAACCGCTACAAAATCTGCAAAAAATAATTCAAACTTCATAAAGTTTTGATATATAAAGTAAAAGATTAAGAGTGATTTATGTTGACCAAGTGAATAGTAAATGTATCTTACAATTTGGGACTGAGGGGGTAATAAAATTCGGAAGTGTTCCCTGACACTTCCTCCACCGCACGTGGTTTGCTCCAGGACAAAAAAAATAGTTTTTTGTTCTTATTAACCTATGGGAAAATGGAAACTAATATTCTACCCTTTTAGCGGTCTTCTTACAATAGTCCCACCTTTTGATTATTGATGAATAATCCAACCTTTGCACCTAGGGTTGGACTCGGGTCGGGTCGGGCCCGGGCCGGCGGTTCTATATAGCTGGACCCGGGACCGGCCCGGGTAGCCACCGGGTCCGGGCCGGGTCCGGGCCGGGCCTCGGGTTTGGTTAATTTTTTTTTTTTGCTTAGCTACCCATCCCTGACCCCCCCTCACCCCCACCCCCAAACCCCTCCTAAACATCAAGCCCAACCCGGTGGAGCCCAAACAAATGAAAAAAACCAAAAAAAAAATTAAATTTGGCCCGAACCGGGCCGGGCCGGGCCTTGTTATGGGTGACCCGAGCCCGGACCGGAAACCCACCGGGTCGGGCCTACCCGGACCGGTCATTGACCGGGCCACCGGTTCGGGCCGGGCCGGAACAGTACCGGTCCCGGGCCGGTTCCGGGTCGGGCCACCCGGCCCGAGTCCAACCCTATTTGCACCCCATCTTCATTCACTGGTCTCTGGCCGATTTATGACATGTTATTCCAAGTTATTTTCTTATCTTTGCAAAACATTATGTGATCATAAGGTGAGAATTATGGTATAATGTTTTACAAAGATAAAAAAATAACTAGGAACAACAGGTCATAAATCGGTCAGGGACCAGTGAATGATTATTTTGAATTTCTCTATCTCTAACGGCTTGGGTGATTTCTATTCATCAGAACATGATAACGTACGGAGTATTCATTGTATAAAAAATTATACATTTTAATGTATGGTGTAACGCAGTATTTTTCAATAATTTATTTAACTGACATTGAATTTTAAGTTGAAATTTGATGGGTATCATCTACATTTCATTAAGAACACGTTCACAAAGTTTCATAAAAAAAATTCAGATGAAAGAACTTCAAATGGAGATAGCCAGACACCGTTCCGGTCAAGAAATTCATGACCGGAGAATTACTATATATATGATCACTTATGATATTAATATTGTCTATAAATTGCTAAAGTATGATAGAGTAACCATCCCGTTAGGTCGTCTGACAGGATCCATCGTAGAACAAGGCCATTTGGGGGCTTTCCCAATGATTTTTCTATTAAATGTTTTGATCATGTTCTTAATCAAGTGTAAACTATCTCCACAAAATTTCAATTTAAAACTCAATTGGAAAGCCAGTCGAACAAATTTATGAAACATATTGTGTTTTATGTGAATTATTTTTATTTACATAAATGGCCTTGGTCGGGCGGCAGATCATATCAAACCGGTGTGACGGGATCGTTTTATGATATCATTATAATTTAAGAATGATAGTAAATTATTTTTATTTGGATGGTCAGGAAATTTCCCTCCTCATACCCGAATCCCAGTGGGAGGAGGGTACTAGTAAATATTCTATGAGGCTCCTTCCTACAATCCTATGTATCAAAACACAACAATACCTTCCTTTCTTGAGCCTACATACATGCCACGTTCCCTCTTTGCGTGTGCCCTTGCAAATAAGATGAGTGCAGCCCTCCAAACATCAAGAATTCAACATTGAATTGGAAGCTCTTCCTTCCCAAAAGCAGATTATTCTTCCCCCACTAACCACACTTTTAAAATATCAATTTCCATCCTAAAGAGAGATGCCCTTAATTGATTCTTTACTCCACCCATAAACTCCAGGCTCACAAGGCCAATACACAAACACACCAAGTTTTCTTTTCTTTGTTCTTCTCAATTTATGGCTCAAGAACCACAGGTATATATGCTTTCATTATATCACCTTGATATGTTCTAATGAAACCTAGCTCCAAATCCATAGGGGTATAATCTGATCTTCAAGTTGTCCAGAGAATGCAGGGAAGTTGGGTCACTGAGGTACAGGTCCGAATGGACTGCAATGGGTGTGTTCAGAAAGTCAAGAAGGCTTTGAATGGAATTCATGGTATGTATTAACTGGTTGTGAGAACCTTAAGCTTTCAATATCTTTTTTCATCTTCTGGAAAAGCTATTTTGTGCCAGTAGTGGAAAAAATCATCAACTACATGGGAGCAGGTTTATAGTCTGTTTTGAGGCGGTTTGGATGCCTCCTCCGATTGAGGTCCAGCTTTTAACGGCCGACTTTCAGCTGTTGTTGGTAGGCATCTTTTATGAGATAAGAGTGGTCAACTGGTCTTATATAGACATAGTAAACATTATTTGAAAAAATCATGAATATAGTGTAAATTCACTTTACGTCTGCATTTCATTACACTACATTATGTTTCATTAGGATTTACCACACACTATTATCATAACACTTGAAATGTGTAAAGGTTAAAGTGCATGTATCGTTCGATCGTGCGGACGTGGCAATCATGTAACAATAATATCATACCGGATACAGTAAGGAATAGAAAACGTCATCATCAAATTATCATGTCATATACACTCATATTGTATATTTGTATAGCCGACCTCTCTAGTTTGAAGGCATGAAGATTGAAGGAAAAATGAGATGTGCAGATAGGAGTTTAGGGACTATGATGAGTTTCCATATTTACCCTTGATGAGTTAAAAAATACTTAACTCGTTAAGAGTAAGTAAATTCAATATACTCCTTTACATCCTTATCGGTACATATCATGTTTCGTGTTAATAATGTTTTGATCTTTCTTGCAGGTATCTCTGAACTATACATTGATTTTCCTCAGCAGAGGATTACCTTAGTGGGAAGTGCAGATCCTGAAATGATAGTGAAGGCAATCAAGAAAATCAGAAAAAGGGCAATCATATGCTCTCATACAGAACTGCCAGAGGAAAACCCATCTCAGTCACAGGAGGTACCTCCCAAGGGTGGTGGTGGTGGTGGGTCATCATCCACTGAGTCTGCTAATCTTCCAGCAGAAGCCACACCAGATGAAGCAAGACCACCGACGGAGCCACCGAAAGATCCAACACCTCAGGAGATTAATCAAAAGACAGTGGAAGAAAAGCCATGTCCTGAAACAGCTGTGAGAATGACCAACAAAAACCATAGAGCTGTGGAAGACATTCAACAAGTATACAACCATCCAGCGGACTATTACAGTTATGGATATGGTGGGGGAGCACCCCAATGGAATTACCATCACCCACACGGCACCGGTATGGGACTTGGACACCAACCGCCTCCAACGGCTCCAAGTGGTCTACGGTTCCGACAGGAGCCCACACCTCTTCCTCCAACCATCAATAGTTCGAAGCTCATGTATGAACCACCACTGCTGCCAAATAATAATACTTTAAGGTTTATGCATGAATCGCAACCTCCACCCTCCAGGAGTTCAACAAAATGCCATGAACCACCACCCCAAAATCCAGAATCCAAACATGATCGTGGAGAAGAAACGTGCAATAATCCCGAGTTCAAATATGACGCCAATTTGATCCAAAAGGGGTCACATCTCAGACAAGAACCGCTGCCACACTCGAGTAGTAGTTCAAGACTCAAACCACAAGAACCACCGGTTCCACCCAACAATTCAGAATCCAAATATCACCGTGGACAAGAACCACCCTATAATCCGGATTTCAATTATGATCCATACATGAACCAAAATGGTTCACGGTTCAGACAAGAACAGCTTCCATACCTGAGTAGTAGTAGCAGTTCAAGATTGAAGCAGCAAGAGCCAACACCACCACCACCAACACCACCTTACAATGCAGGTGAATCCAAAAATGATCCATCAATGTTGTACCAAAATGGAATGGATTTCAGACAAATAAATGAACCACTATCATCACCCTACTACAGTTCAGAGTTCAGAAGGGACCCACCCACACAGCGACCTGTATATGTCTCGCATAGCTACAATGCCTACAAGCCACCACCTTATGTAACTGGATATGAGTTTGCCCGGCCACAACCTCCCAGACAAAGGTATAACAGTGAGCCTAACCCATACACAGACAATATGTACCCTATACCAAGGCCTTACACTGGTTATGATTATGTCCACCCACGCAATTCGCCTCCAGATCATTATTCAGAGGATAATCGCAATGGGAATAATAGCGATGGAAATATGTCCTCCATTTTTAGCGAAGAAAATCCGAATGCATGCACAATATCATAGTAACTGGTAGCATACTTTGCTCAAAGTGCTAGAATTCAAAGAACCTTGTGCAATTGTCAAGGAGAAGATATGATAAGCTTCAAAAGGCAAAAGGGAATTTATTCTTCGGTCCACTTAGAATTCTAGACACGTGTATTACCCACCAGACAATTCATTTCTTTTGTACAATAAAAACAACTTTATTCTTGGAATACATTCTGCAACTAAAACTTCATGGACAATGCCATATTTTGAGAATAACACTAATAGACAAATATGTACAATTGAGCTTTAAAACAAGAAAAAGGGAATATTAATATTTATTTATTTATTTATTTATTTTGCATGTGTCAGAAATAAGAAAGTGAATCATTATTTCTTGCATCTAAAGGAAGTCCCGCGATTCTGTTCAAAAATCATATAATTTTCATTTAGGCAAAAGATCAAGCATAATATTCTACTAAGATGTTTCAAAAACCAGAGATAGAGAAGCACAAATTAGATCGAATATGCTGGTGGGAAACATAAGCACCACTGATCTCGTTACACATTTTTTTTACCATTCTAAACTAACTTTCATAGGATCGTCAAGTATTCAGAAAAATGATAACTGAAACAATAGACAAAATTGCACAACAATAAGGAGACACAGAATCAAAGCAGCCTTCACCAGGAAAAAAGCACTGCAGGTTTTAGAGCAGTGGTTCTGATCACTCCATGCTATCAAGCAGTTGGATCAGAGAGACATATTTAGTGTATTGCTGGACCATGATTTGAATGAACTGTTGCATTAAGAGCAAGAAACCCCTTAAGATTGATAACCACTTCAAAAATAAGTATCATCTGCAAGTTCTATCACAAGAGACAGCAATTAGCTATATATGCAGTGAAAGAAGAAACATTGGAATCATAATATCCAATAAACGAAATTTCTCAAGATTGTAATCCATATAAATAGACACCATATCAAAGACGAACGGCACAAAAAACTCTAAGTCATAATAATCATATTTACTGTTTTCTGCTCTTTTTTCTCCTCCCTTTTGTCACTTTAAACAAATAATCACTTGTGAATAATTAACTAAAAAGTGATACCTTTAATTAGATATGAACTGTCCATGCAAATGAATGAAGTTAACTAAAAATGAGTTTCAGACAAATAAGCATGCATTGATTTCAGACAAATTCATTTACATGTAAAATTAACACATATATTCAATATTAGTGAAATAGCTACATTTACTTACACAAACTGCTTAATCATCATCACTGCTGCTTTGTGATTCAGATTCATTCTCTAAGCCATACAGAACTTCATCATCTTCATCCTCATTTTCCTCCATTTCTTCATCATGCAGTAACACGTGGCTTTTATTATTAGAAGCTTTCTCAAACTGTAGAACATTTCAAGTACAAAACCAAATAGTATCAATAAAAGTGTTGAAAGAAAACAGTTTGATAAAAAACAGTTTGATTGAGTTCTGAATTTAGTAACCTGTGCTGTTACAAGTTGCAAACGACCACATAGCCGCAATAAAGAGCTAAGAGCTTCGCCTTTAGACTTGGTAATCTAGTACAGAAGTTGAAGATTGAAGCTAATTATACACCACAATGACTAGACTTTCATTCAATCATGAGAGGCAAATATCATATAAACTAGAACATCAAAAAGAGTACCTTGTTTAAGGAATCTAGTAGATGGGTAAATCGTTCCTGGGATGTAAGATAATAATGGTGATTTACCATGATGCAATAGATCCAAGGAAGAATACATTTTGCCTTGTACGATCTGTTAAAAAGTAAAATAAATTTTATTAACAGAGACTAGAGAACTGAGTTGGCATAGCACTTCTAATATTGGATTAAAGGGAAGACCTAGAATGCCATCCAGCAACCAGCATTTCTAACAAGTTGCATGCAGCTTTGGGTTCCATAGATAAAACAGCTCTCCTCATCTGTAAAAGGGAAAGGGAATGAAAACAAAAGGAGCATGTTAGATAATGGTAAATGCTAGGGAAATAAAATAAATGTGCCAAGGATAAAAGTTATCTTCTTGTGTTTGATTTATCTTAGAAGATGCAAAGGAAAAACTGAAAAATGATTAATTTATGAACATATTTTTTCATTATATTAAGGTTCCTTATTCAATGTACAATAGAATTACATAAAAAGATTTGAGTGAATATATCTAAAATAAATTTATTGAGTTTGACCTTATATTTTCTTCCGAATTGTATTCCACCCAGTTATGTTTAATTTCCTGTTTTCTTTCCATGCATTTACCAAGTTCTAAAATGATCCAAATTATTGAGACTCAAAAAACTAATGTTTTCAGGAACAGTTATTATATTATAATTTTGTAAGAAATTAATATATGCAACTTGTACTCTATAAAAACGAACCTCCTTTTGTGGAACATTGGCCTCAAGATTGAAACCCTTGACTTTTTCAGTTTCGAAACATGGTTTGGAAGTGGGATCAATGTTACTAAGAATCCCCATAGATCTAAGTTGCTCTTCCATGCATATTGTGACTGCATCAGCATCATCTTGGTCCATGTCATCTGAGTACATGTATGATGTAACTTATCATTAAGTAAAATATAAAAGAATCTTTTTGAAGTACAGAATAAACATAAAAAACTAAGCATAACATTATAGAATAACTTTGTACAGTAATATATAAATTGATACATTAAAGAGTAACTTGCTAGTGTCATTTCCATCATTATCAGGGATAAATGTGTAAGGTTACAAGATACATTGGGCACAACATACTACATTACTACTAGACCAGTGATACTATACTTTTGAGATATTTTTCCTTAAATAGAATTAATCAGTGTCCTACTATATATATATGAGCATAAATGTGATGAGATATAGGCTACCGAAGAAATATCTGTAGCTTTGTGGTATACTCCCTCTGGTTTACCATAATTTTTTATTTGGAAGAAATCAAACAGAACAAGTTGTTAGATGGACAAAATCTTTATAATATGAGCCCTTAGAAACAGTTTATTATCATTGAAGATTAGTTTTGCATAGGGGTCTCATAGAAGGGGGTGAAAGAGAACTAAATACTGACATAATGTCTTGGTTTTATAAAATGACATAATGTGAAACAATGTTTTCCTCCATAAACTGACACTTGATGTAAACCAGCGGGAGGGTACAATAGTGCATACTTGCATGCATGAAGTCATGAAATCAATAGTAGTTTGAGAAGGATTATCATTTTAGCATCCCCCCCCCCCCCCCACAAAGCAATTGACAGTGAATACCTTGTGCATATCAAGGAAAGAAATAATAAACCAAACAAGCATACCTTTGCTAACCACTAGCTTAGCTGCGCTCTTCACGCCAGGAAAATCAAGAATCTGAGGCATAGGAAGTAAGGCATCCTCTGCGTTTGCACGATCTAAGGCAGTAACTGTTTTCAAACAATTCAGAAGTTGCTTTCTAGACAACAATTAAGCTTTGAATCAACCATATGCAAAAGAAATTGCATTTAAATAATGTGCATGTAAAAAGTCAAGCATGTGCATACTGCTGGAATTGAATGCATATAAACCTTAAAAGATAAAACAATAAAATGAAAGTCCCTAAATGGTAATTTAAACGTCGAGTCATAGACACTTGAGAAGCAGTTTCGTCCTATCTCATTAAGGCTATGTTCGAAACTGGGAAAATGCTAGGAAAAAAATGCTGAGGAAAGTTATTTTGAGTGTTCGATTCCACAATGGAAAATGTGGAGACCTGTCAATTCCAAAGGATTTTACATATATTTAGATTTTTTTAGTTCATATAGCGGAAATAACTCATTAATTAATGAATTGATGATATAAGTAAATAAATAAACAAAAAACTAATGAAAATGAACTGTGAACAAATATATAATTTTGATTTAATCAGTTTGAAACTCTTTCAGAGTTTCCTCCAAATTCTCTACACTCAAATTTCCTCATGTTTCCTCCCTGTTTTCCTAATTCCCTTGGAACTTTCCAGGTTCCAAACAATGATTAAGAAATTAAGGACAATAAAGAATATCAAGAGTTAAGAGTGTTAAAGTATTATTCTGTGGATTTTGTACCGACTAACAAAGAACGTGCCAGGAAATGCAACAGCACTCCAGAAACCAGTTACAACCCAATGGGCATAGTTGAAAAATCAAGAATCTCAAGTGTTCAAGTAGTTAGTTACCTTGGTTTCGTGATTGAGTAACTGTTTGCTGTTTGCGGGATTGACTAATTGGTAGAAGAAGCCCATCAAGTGAACTGTTCAACTTTACGTCTGTCCCGGACTGCAGCACAATTTTCTCAAAAGACGGTTTAACGAATAAACCATGTGTAAGAAACACACGTCCAGAAGCAGGTTTAACCGCATGTTCCAATTTTGCAGCAAAAACACCATGCACAGCACCTTTTGTCTTCCCATCAGAATATACTTTTGTGGGCTTGCAAGACCGCAAATCGTCAATACTCTTTCCATACCAGAAATAACAGACACCTGCCTCAGAGATTGCCAAAACAGAAAGACCCATATCATCTTCTTGAGTGTTAATGGACCGACTATCCAAAAAGACGGCTGGGTGATCCATTGCAAGGGAACAGCAGCATGCAGGTTGCTTTTTTCTGCCACCTACCTTCCACACTGCAACATATCTCTCACCAACAGCAGAAGAAAGCAGGTACTGTCCATCTTCAGAGAATACCATACGCCGAACAGGGCTCTAATCAAAATGAAGATATAGTAAGGTTGTTTCTAATAAAACCGATTGAGACAAAAAAGATGTTCTTCATTACTTTAAGATAAAATTAAGAGTTAATAGACGGTTTAGCCCCTCTAGTATTCAATTATATTCATATTGGTCTTTGACAAAGAAATTGGATCCAATTTAGCCCTCACACATGTCAGGTTCTAATGAAAGAAGGTGTTTTGTTTAAATTTAGATATAATTTAGCATTTGATTTGTACTCAGCTATGTAATTTTGGACACCATAAAGTCATCATTGCATAGAAGTACTCTTCTTGACTAAATTGAGAAAACTAAATACTTGATGACCAAATTGAGTTTAAAAAAAGTTAAGGAATGAATTAAGTAATAGTGTATATATTGTACAGATGAGGGACCAAAGCGTGTATCAACTCTAAATTAACCAAATACAACAAATTCAAAATTAGATGGCTAAAATTAACCAAATGTTACTCACCGGGTGACCAGAAAACTTCTGCAGCTTTTTATGATCCAAACAGTTAAAGATCTTCAATTGAGAGGCTGCAGTTGCTAATACTGTCCCATCTGAGGTTATATGTGGTCACAATGTCAGATAAGCTAACCTCCAGGAACTAAGTGGAAAATGCAAGTCAAAAGTGGACAGATTAATCAAATTAGAAATTATAATTTAGAAAGAAAGAGCAGACCTGGTGAAATGGACATAGATGATATCGCCTTCGTAGAAGCCTTGAACTTGCGCAATAGGTTTCCTGACGTAGCATCAAGTTCACAAACCATCCCATCTCTACCTGCAGTATATACGAGCCGAGCACTAGTAGGGAATGATATCGCAGTCACACCCCTGCACAATAAGATATAAAGAGGCACAATCAAAACCACATCAGTTTTACATACCAATTCCATTCGATTTTCCTCTCTTCACTAAATTTTCCACATAAATTAAGAGTCAAGTTGTAGGGGCGGTGAATTGTGTAGAAAAGGTGAAAATGGGAGAAAGAAGATGAAAAGTAGGTAACGCTGAAGAGAGAAGATTAATTACCCCCCTACAAAAAAAATTTAAGTTTTTTATTATACTCTTATTAATTCATAAAATACTAGATTCACTCATTCATCCAAAAACCTAGCCTTAGTTTATTTTAGAAAGGAAAAATAGAAAGTAGGAAAGAAACGTTGTCATGATTCTCATGAAAACCAAGTTGTTGTTTGGACCCTGGGAAAATCTATGGCAATGGAAAAAGTGCTAATAAAGGTTGTTTTCTAATGTTTGAATCCACTTTAAGAAATGCAAATATGCAACGGAAAATGTAAGATGATTATATTTACATAAATCTATCCCCACGTGTTTAGATTTCTTAGTCTTTATACAATAGACAAATAAATAAATTGAGTTTAAAGTTTAAACAAATATCTGAAATATCTTTATTGAACTTAGCCTAACTTTTGTTTTCTCTCACGTTTGCATTCCTTCCCATTTTGGTCAATGTTCTCTTTACTATGTTCTCTCTGTGGTATTTTCTGGGATTCATTTGGATCCAAAAATTATGAGTTTCAGAAAGGACTCACCGAGGATGGCAATCAGAAACTCTCCATTTCAACTGGCCGGCAGAAACATCTAAAGCAAGAACATCCCCACTGCCAGTCCCTAATACCAATAATGAAGTTCTAAGCTTCCTTTTTTTCTGCAAAACATTAAAAAGTTAAAAATTAGGATTGCAAATTTTGGGCTTGAGCCAATCCGAAAAACAAGTATCAAATTTATTTGACCTAAAAACCGAGTAATATCAGGCAGGAGGATATGTTACAAACCTTTTTCTCAGAAGATATCCATTTCATACAAGTATAATCCATGGAAAGGTGTCCTTCTTGCTTTTTAGAAAACAAGCCTGTCGTCTCAGAAGGCTCAATATCTGCAAACTCAGTCTGTATTTGGCCTTTCACAGTGTCCCATATCTGGAAAATACCCAAACAAACAACTCAACTACATGAAAACAGCAATAAGCTATAAATTCCAAAATTCATGCTATCACTTTAGTAAAAGTAAATAAAAGTTCTAGTTCACTAGGAAAACCTGCACAACTCATGCAATGTGGTCAAGAAAAAAAAATAAAGATTTGATTCCACCCCGTCTATAGTCGCATTCAGAGTGAAAGTAACCAAAACAGCATAAATACAAACACCGGAAAGAAAGGTTACCTTAATACGACCATCACCGATGCTTATAGCAAAAAAGTCCATAGAAGGGCTGAAAGCCGTCAGGAAGTCTCTGATGTTTAATGACCCCATAGCTGAAAATAGTAGTTTTACAATAAAAATACAAACTTTACAGTGAAACAAGAGAGTACGCAATTACAGTAATGTGTACAATTAGAATGAACAATATTCCGTGGAGCGGAGGCGGTTCTGCGGCGGCTAGGCAGAGGAAGGCGGCGCGGCAGCTGAAAACTCTGAATGCAATGCTCTCTCCTCCCGTGTCGTAAGAGTACGAGAATTAAACTTTGGGCTTCTTTATTGGTCTTGTTTTTATAGTCTGGCCCAATTTGTAAACGTGCGAAGATGTTACTCCATTTGTCCTGTAATGAACAATATTCACTTTTTGCAATCCAAAATAGATGTTGTGTAATGAAGAAGATGAAGACCAAGTTTTAGAGATAGATATTATTAATAAGCTCTAAATTATTTCTTCTTGATATAATTGATATTTTCTGAATTTCTGAGTTACATTACAAAGGTTTGATCAAGCCATATTTATACTAGCTGGACTTGATGATGAATCATCAAAGACTACTTCTACATATTTTGTTGACACTATTAAACCTAATCATCTGTCTATCTATGATTACAATGATGGAAAGAAGTTTAGTGTCCTGTTTACAAGGATGAACAATTCACACTTGTCATTTCCTGGGTTTTACAACACTCCCCTTGAATGTTCATCCTTGAGAATAGTTATTTGTATTTAAAAATTTATTGTGAAGATTAGTGTGAAAATTAAGGGGTAAAATTATGACTTATAATGTCATTGTATTTAGACGTACTGTCTCGTTAAAAACCTTATCAGGAAAAACTCAGTGGGATAAAAACCTGATGAAGGAAAAAAGTGTGCAGTGCATTCAAATACTCCTCCTGAATTTAACATAAATTATGAAGGCGGCGCATGCTGATTTTCTGTACAAGTTCTATGAACTTTTTCAGGGGCAATGACTTGGTGAAGAGAAGCCGGATTTTTATTGGATCTGATTTGTTGAATGTTGATCGTCCCTTCTTTCTCCAGATCATGAGTAGAGAAGAACTTTGGTGATATGTGTTTCGTTCTGTCTCCTTTGATGTAGCCTTCTTTAATCTGAGCTATGGACGCAGTGTTGTCTTCGTATATCACAGTCGGGTGACAAGTAATAGGCTTCATACCACATTCATTTTGGATGTGTTGAATCATAGACCACAACCACACACATTCTCTTCCGGTTTCATATAATGCAATTAACTCCGAATGATTTGATGATGTAGTTGTCAATGTCTGCTTCATAGATCTCCCTGAGATTGCGGTGTTACCATAAGTAAATAAGTACCCGGTTTGTGATTTCGCCTTTTGAGGATCTGATAAGTATTCAGCGTCTGCATATCCGATTAAAGCAGCTTTTGCATCTTTGTGGTAGAATAAGCCGAGATCAACTGTACCACGTAGATAACGGAATATGTGCTTGATCCCGTTCCAATGACGTCTTGTTGGGCATGAACTGTACCTAGCTAATAAATTTACAGAAAATGCAATATCCGGTCTAGTATTATTAGCTGAATACATTAAAGCTCCAATAGCACTCAAATATGGTACTTTGGGACCGAGTATTTCTTCGTCGTCTTCTCGGGGACGGAATGGATCATCGTGTATGTTGAGAGATCGAATGACCATTGGTGAAGTCAAAGGATGAGCTTGTCCATATAGAATCTCTTCAACACTTTCTCGGTGTAATTGGATTGGTGGATGAAAATCTCATTCTTCAAATGCTCAATTTGAAGTCCGAGACAAAATTTGGTTCTCCCGAGATCTTTCATTTCAAATTCTTTCATAAGATATTTTGCAGTATTTTCAATTTCATCGGGAGTTCTAATAATGTTTAAGTCATCAACATACACTGCAATTATGACGAATCCCGAATTTGATCGCCGAATGAAAACACATGGATTATTTGGATCATTCTTATATCCTTCTTTAAGAAGGTATTCAGTGAGACGATTATACCACATTCGTTCAGATTGTTTTAGTCCATACAATGACTTATGTAATTTAATGGAAAACATGTCTCGAGGTTTCGAGCTATAAGCTTCAGGCATTTTAAATCCTCCGAGAACATTCATATAAATGTCTGTATCGAGTGAACCGCATAAATATGCAGTCACTACATCTATTAGGCGCATTTGTAGCATTTCAAAAACAGACATGCCAATAAGAAACCTTAATGTAGTTGCATCAACTACTGGAGAATAGGTTTCTTCATAATCAATTCCCGACATTTGAGAAAAACCTTGGGCAACAAGTCGGGCTTTATATCTAACAATTTCATTTTTCTCATTGTGTTTACGCACAAATACCCATTTAAAGCCCACTGGTTTTATGCCTTTTGGCGTAGGGACTATCGGTCCAAAAACATCACATTTTTCAAGTGATTTTAATTCAGCCTGAATAGCTTCATTCCATTTTGGCCAATCTTGTCGTTTCCGACATTCTTCAATTGATGTTGGCTCATTGTCATTGTTTTCATTCATTACATTTGTGGCAATGGCATAGACAAATATCTCATTAATATCAATATCTTTTCGATTCCATTGCATTCCAGTATAAACATAATTTATTGAAATTTCACGATTATCAATGTTTCTATCATTATCTCGAATATCTTCCTCATTTAAGGAAATTGGATCGTCATATGAGATGTTTGTTTTGTCAATATCATTTTCTATGCCAGTATTTTCAAATTGTTCATGTTCTTGTTCAGAAGGGTGAACATCTTTGGCATCACAGATCAATTCCTGCCTTTTAGTTTTTCTTGGTTTTATATCTTTTGATCCAAGTGGCCTGCCACGCCTTTTGCGTATAGAAGAATCATTTGCAAGCGATTTTTCAAAATTCTCTGTTGGAATTTCGATTCTGGCAGGAGCATTCATAGCAGGAATATGTGACTTTGCCATTTTCTTTGTATCTGTGAATGCATCAGGCAACTGATTTGCAACATTTTATAAATGAATTATCTTTTGCATCTCTTGCTCACATATATTTGATCTAAAATTAAGGTGTGATAATCATGTTGCATTCCATGTTATTTCTTTCGTACTTGGGTCCGATTTATTAGTTTCTCCCCCTAAGGTTGGGAATATTGTTTCATTGAAATGACAGTCAGCGAACCATGCGGTGAATAAGTCACCAGTCATCAGTTCAAGATATTTGATTATTGAGGGAGATTAAAATCCAACATAAATTTTCAACCTTCTTTGAGGACCCATTTTTGTACGATGAGGTGGAGCAAACGAAACATAAACAACACAACCAAATATTTTTATGTGTGCTAAATTTGGCTCTTGTCCAGTAACTAATTGCATTGGGGAATATTCATGATATGTAGTCGGTCTAAGCCGAAATAAATTTGCTACGTGCAAAATAGCATGTTCCCAAGCTGATGAAGGTAAATTACACTTCATTAATAATGGTCTAGCGATTAATTGTAATCGTTTAATCAAAGATTCAGCAAAACCATTTTGTGTATGGACATGAGCAACAAGTTGCTCCACATCAATCCCAATCGATATACAATAGTCGTTAAATGATTGGGATGTAAATTCTCCTGCATTATCAAGTCGGATTCTTTTTATAGAATGATCCGGAAAATGAGCTCTTAATCGTATGATTTGAGCAAGGAGTTTAGCAAATGCTAAATTTCTAGTCGATAAAAGACTGACATGTGACCAACGTGTTGAAGCATCAATCAACACCATAAAACATCGAAATGGTCCACATGGTAGGGCAATCGGCCCACAAATATCTCCTTGAATCCTTTCTAAAAATGCAGGTGATTCAGTTGCAATTTTGTTTATAGAAGGTCTGATGATCATTTTGCCAAAAGAACAGGCCTTACAAGGAAAATCACTTGATAATGGAATCCTGATATTCTTTAATGGATGTCCAAGTGAAGTCTTATTGATTTTATACATCATTACTTGGCCTGGGTGATCTAAATGGTCATGCCACAACATGAAGGTTTTCTGATCGTCTAACTTTGTATTAGAAACCAAATTTATTTCGAATGGACTTATATATGTGAAATATAGTCCTGAGGAATATGTTGGCATCGTTTCACAAATAAATTTAGTGCCAGATTTAGTTGTCGTTAGACAAAGATATTCCTTTTGGTTTTCATTCATGGTTTCTATGTGATAACCATTTTGACGCATATCTTTAAAACTTAATAAATTCTTCTGCGATTTGCTGGAGTATAAAGCGTCTTTTATAATTATTTTGGTCCCGTTAGGGAGCATCACATATGCTTTCCCAGAGCCTTCAATGAGCTTCACAACACCTGATATTGTATTGATTTTAGTTTCAGCTAAAGTCATTTGAGAAAAATATATTTTATTTCTCAGAATGGTGTGCGTTATGGCACTGTCTATCAGACATAGCTCTTTATCATTTGAGTGATCCATATCTTCAATATGTGTAAATAAACATAAGCTTGATCACAACTTGTGCATATAATTTAACGTAAAGTGCATATATTACACACATTTATTTAAAAACAAAAGAAAAGGGGAAGAAAGAAAAAATACATAAAACTAATATGTTACAACATAAGGATCGGAGTCTAATATTTTATTTTGTGACATTTTGGTTTATTGCAAAAGCATCGTCCATAATGGCATCATCCACGAAGAAGTCGGACACATCAATTTATACTAGTTGGGCTTGATGATGAATCATCAAAGACTACTTCTACATATTTTGCTGGCACTATTAAACCTAGCCATCTATCTATTATTACAAGGATGGAAAGAATCTTAGTGTCCTGTTTACAAGAATGATGATAAGGATGAACAATTCACACTTGTCATTTCCTGGGTTTTACAACAATACTCTCTTTCATTGGATTTTATCAAATTTCCTTTTGTATCCCTAAACAAATTGCTTCTTTCTCTTTAAAATAACTATTTTGTGGTTCTACTTATTTCTCTCTTCTCTACACAAACTCCAACCACACAATTTTTACTATTCTTATTTCTCACCTAATTCGAAGAGTGCAAAGTCCATTGGAACGGATATAGTATAAAACATTACAATGCTTGTATACATTTATAGTAACATCAAAGAATTAATTCTAATATAAATTGTAATGATGAAAATAAGTTAATAGGTGAATGTTGGTTTTCTTATTGATGAAAACTCATGACAATAGTTCAAAATACATACTCGAGATCTTTTAATGTGCCAATTTTGTTAGTCTTTTTGTCCTTCAATTTATAATGTCTGTTTGTTGTGCGCAT